GCCCGCGGGCTGTCCGGCCCCTCTGGGGCCTGCGCAGGCGGCAGGCACAGTGGACGGCCCCGGAGGCCCCGCCCCCGCCGCCCGGGTCCTGGACGGGCCTCAGCCGCCCCCTTCGGGCCCCTCCAGGGCTGCCGCAGGGGCCAGCTCGGCTGTCCCTGCAGGTGTACCTCCTGGTGCTGAGCGTGACGACGCTCAGCCTGCTGCTGGCGCCAGTGCTGTGGCGAGTCGCCGTCGGGCGCTGCCTGCCCCGCCAGGAGCGGCGGTCCAGCCTCTGAAGCCTCCCGGGCTGGACGCACTGACAGCTGGCCCGGCTCCGGCCTGGCCGCCCTCCCCTCCGCGACGCTGCCGCCTTCCTGGGGGCGCCCGGCCGGCCGCTGGGGCTCTCAGCTGTTCCGAGCGAATAAAGCGCCTCTCACCGCTGCCCCTGCCGGCCTGTCGTGCCTCTAGCCGCCGCCCGCTGTGGGGGCACTGCTGGACGTGCTTTCCAGCGGCCGCTCCGAGTCGGCCTAGCGTCCGGGTCATCCCCAGGGGTTGTGTCCAGGCAGTTTTCCCGGGAGCGCCGCCCCGGGGTCTCCAGCCAGCGCCCCGATGGACGCGCCGGTGGTTTCTCACCTCGGCAGGTCTGCTGTGGGGCGCGCGGCCACTGGGGGTCCTGGCTGGCCACCGCCTGCCCCCCCACTGTGCGAGGAACCTCTTAGCTCAGCCCGGAGCCCGCGGGAGACGCACAGGGCGCTGGGCCAGCTGCCCCCACCGGGCTTCCCAGCCTGCGCCCCACCAGCCTGCACCCCCACCAGGCTGCGCCCCACCAGCCTGCACCCCCACCAGGCTGTGCCCCACCCAGCCTGAATCCCGACCCAGCCTACGCCCCGCCGGCCTACACTCTGCCAGCCTGCGCCCACCAGCCTGTGCCCACACCAGCCTGCACCCCCACCAGGCTGCGCCCCACCAGCCTGCACCCCCACCAGGCTGCGCCCCACCAGGCTGTGCCCCACCCAGCCTGAATCCCGACCCAGCCTACGCCCCGCCGGCCTACGCTCTGCCAGCCTGCGCCCACCAGCCTGTGCCCACACCCAGCCTGCACCCCCCAG